CCTGACCTCACTAAAATAATATTTTTCTTAATATATAAAAATTATTTTCTGTGTAACATCTATGAAAATATTTATTTGATTATTATTCATTAATTTATAAATTTTAAGTAATAAAATATAATTTAAAAAAGTAATAATAATAAAAAACAAACGTTAGAAATTAAATTATATTATATTTTTTTCAACATTTATTAATTATTAATGATAACTAAAGTTGTTTATATACATTATCATTAATATTACATTTAAAAAGTAGATGTTTACATTAATCTTAAAGCTGTTAATGGACCTCTTTAAAAATTATTAAAATGAAGAAGATAGTAAGAATTTACAAATATAATAAATCAAAAAATAAATGTTAAATAATAATAATAAAAAAATGAATCATTTTATTAAGATTGTTTTATTACAATTATCTTTCTTAGAATCAAAATATAAGCTAAGTCATTTAAAAAAATGGATTTTATATAATATCTTAAAAACAAACAATAAAATACAATATTTTAAAGATAATTCTACTTAAAACAGCAGATTTTTTTTATAAATAATAATTGTGAAATATCAGACCATTAACCCCGAACATGATTTTTTTTCTGATATTACACAATATTGAGATCAATTTCTTACATTGCACAAAAACAAATAAAATTCTTTAAGTAAAATATTTCATATTTTGCACAAATTTAATGGTAAAAATTATTTTTTCAGCCGTTTAAAATCTTTACAAGATATTTCTTAAATTATAAAATTTATTATTGACAATTACAATTAATTAGTTTAATAATAGTTTGTCTATCTTCACTTCATTCCCTAACACTTCAATTAATTACATACAATCAATTATATAATTAGGAAATTTGCTTACAATCTATTAATTGGATCATGAATATGTTATCTGTTTATTACATTCATCTTCAATATAATTGAATTAATATATTTTTCCAAAATTGTAAAATATCTTATTAACATTAAAATATTTAATGATAATTTTACAGTTATATATAATCTAATTAATTATTTTAAAACTACTTTTACAAATTCTTATAAACATTTAATAAAATTTTATCTGTAAAAATATATAATTGTATATTAATAACATTTATAAGAGTGACAAGAGAGCAACATTTTTGTTATAAAATAGATAATAGAGGACAATTGAATTTCTACTGTATAATGATAAGAATATAATATTATATTATCAAATTGTTTAAATATTCATATCATATGTAACCTTAAGCAGTACCAAGGCAATAATTTACAACCATTATTTTCATTCTATATATTCAATTTATCCATGCTAAATATAACTGTAAAATTCCTCAAATTAGTTGTTCTATTTTATCTACAGTTCAATTTATTTAAGGACTAGAACATTGACTTATTTATTCTCCTATTGAATTGAAAGTTTTCAAATATCTCACTCACATCTTGGCATTTATGAACTATAAATTGATTCAAATATCCCATTTTGCCATTCCAAGTTTTGAAAATATCTTTTATTAAAATTTACAATAAACATTTAAATTTGAACAAATATCTAACTTTAAAAGAAAGGAAAACAAAAAAAAAATCAGTGTAATTAGAGCCAATTTTAAAGAAACTTTCTATTAATTTCATTAAAGATATTAATCAAAAATTAAAATATCTGATCATTTTTTCCCAACCAAATTTCCATACACCATCAAGAAATATGCTGAACCAATTTTTTAAGCATGAAATGACCTTGGAATCATTTATTAAGACGATCAACCGATTGATACATCAATCGTCTTAGATTTTTTTTTTTATTATTTTTCCCAGCATCAGAAGATGAAATCAATCAAACTTTATGTTCTGAATGAATCTCCAACGTCGCTGTTCTTCTTCCGATTCAAAATATCGGTCCATCCTATAGGATATTTTATGTAACACACGCAACAAGATGGAAATCTGAATGATGCGATCTGACTCTTCTTATCATCCGGATCCAAAGCTAAAAGTCTCTTGTAGGCATATAATTGGCGGCATTTTGAATCAAATCCTGCAGGAAGATTTTCATCCATATACAGGCATGACTTATTCTCGTTTCTAAATATAAATACAAATAATATATTTAAAAAAAAAAATTACTAGGTTAATAGCTCATTGTCATTATTTTTATAACGGTATTAAAGTTTTTATCGACCGAACATAAAAATATATCTTGAAGAAACATACGATTTTTTAATGATCGTTCATAAAAAGAATATAAATTTTAAGAGAATTGTTTTTTTTAAAAGTAAATTTCTAATTTTTTTTTTAAATTTTAATTAAACATATAAAACGTACTCGCAAATTTCGGCGAACACAGCTTGAACATAGTCAACGTCATTAACTACGTAAACCCATTTATTATCATCGGACTTTCCAGCTTTTGGATAGAAGAGTCGAGTCTTTCTGGAACAGATTCTTTCTTCAGAAACGTCAACATTTGTAGCTTTTACTCTAGAATGTAATTCTGGAGGCCCGAAAATTTCGCGAAATTGATCCTTACTGAAAGGTATCGATTGACGTATTTCGCTTCTAAAAATAAAAATAAAGTTGTAGTTTAGTTTTCGAAATATATATTTAATAAATAAACAATCAATTATTATTATCTAAAATTAAAAATATGTAGTAAAACCTTCGAACAACGGCCACTGACCATAACATAAAATGTCAGCTGTTCGGAGGTGGCCGTTGTTTACAGGTTATTTTGTTTTATTTTTATATAGAAAAACCGTTAAAATTAAAATATATTTTTGTAAAATAAAATTTTAAATTTAATTCAAAGGTAATTTACTCAACAAATAAATACAAGAGTATTTTATTTTCTTGTAGAAATTGGTCGAAATGCAACAAGCACCAAAAATAAAGTTGGTGCAATAAGTACTATAGTATAATTGAATTATCTTAATGGAAGTTTTCTTACAAAAATTACATTTACTGAAAGATTCGGGATTATTTTATCAAATTTGAACTAGTTTAATTGAGTTACTAACGTGGGATAATTCGAAACATTCTCGCAGAAAGAAGAGCTGGGATTGGAACACAAAGGTCTTTCTTTATAAACTCCAGGTTCAAAAGGATATCGAGGAACGTGCCCTTTTGGAGGGTATTCTCTATCGATTTCCGGTTGATGTGGTCGTGAAGGTCTGGCATTAATTTCGGGGCGGTATACTTTACTTCGATTTTGTATCTCATCATCAGGAAACACAATCGGTAAGTCAGGATTCGGTCTTGAGGTCACAGAACCCGTATACAGCAAAGTGACCATAATGTTGGCCTGAAACAGAAAGGTAAGTAAAAAAAAAAAAAAATAGTAATAATTACTCAACTGTTGACGTCACCGTTTCGACGACAAACGCCTTCATACGTCACGAATAACGTCACACTTCCTGACCTCACAAGGTGACTGAGAAACCTGATTACGTTTCACGGAAAATTATTTACATAGACGATTGTTTTTCCCCCGATTTAAAGCATTCAAAAACCATTCATTTATCTTCGAAAACATATTTATTTTTAAATTCTTTTTTTAAAAAAAGATATTTTAGATTTAAAAATCTAAACATTTTATTTACAACTTTATCTTATATAAGAGGAAAATTTTGTAAGAGATTGCCACACGTACAATGCTTATCAACAGAACAATTCTGAAGAATTTCGTAAAAGAAAAAAAAACCCCAACAGTACATTAAAATCAATGACATTTCTCATTCAGTAAGAACATTTTACAAGTTCATATACACGTAAATTAAATTTAAAAAATGTTTTCGTGCATGTACAGCGTACAACACGCATCAATGTATTCGTCTATTGAGATAAATATTTTTTTTATGAGCATTGTTTAATGCTTTAGATTAGTTTTTAATGTAACAAGTCGTAAAAAGTTTAAACCACCCATTTAAAAAGGAACCACGCTAATAATAGTAAACAGCCTACATTACAGTGTAGAAGGAGTACAATAAATAACATTAAAAATCGCTTCGCTTCCTTATAAAACAATACAAAATAACATTCTTTTTATATCTTTAAAAGAAAATTTTAACTTTCAATTTAAAAAAGTAACAATTAATTACATTATTATATATNTATAATTGTTATTTACAGATAATAGTGATTAATATTTTAATAGTAAAAAAGAGTTTATTGACGACGTTGTTATTGAGTGTTCTTTAGTGTGAGCCAAGCGGTGCGCGATCTATGAAGCTGTGCCATGCGCCCTCCTACTGACAACATTAAGGATTGTGAGAGCACTGGGCAGTACTGGCAAGGATGATAAAGCTGTAACATTACCGCTCATGCCTCCTAAGTTCACGGCTGGAATTACCTGTAGTCTTACAACCTTTTATTATATGGTAAGTAATGCCAAAATTTTGTTCTTCTAAGTGCATTTCTTAATATAAAAATCATTTCGAAGATATAATATATAAAATTTCTATTATAAATTAACACATAAACCGACTTTTTACTTGAGGAATTTGTTTGTAGAATATTTACTTTTTAATACTTCTAAATTCTCTCGTCTTTTTCAATTAAATTCTTATAATTCTTTAATAATTATTTGAGTTTCTTAAATATAAACAAAACTGTAATGAAATTCTGGTCAGGATCTAAATAATAATATTAATGCTTTAAAAATATCATATTAAATAATTTTATTAAAACTTTATATATAAACTTATGCATTAAAATTTGACTTTAAAATAGTATAAAAAAATTTTTTTAAATACTTTTACTTGTATTTATCACCAATTTTTATTGATCATCAATTTTTAACTTTTGACCCAATTTTCACACGTTTCACACTTTTTTTTAAATCGTTNAAATCAATTCAAAACACTAAATAAATATTATATTTAATATTATTTCTTCACTTTTGACATATGAACTTGTAGAATATTTATAAGAAACTAACATAAACAAGCAAAACCAGATTTAGCTCAGCTTATATTTATATACATTTAAACTTAAAACATTTTTTATTGTCTTAAACTTTAAAATAACTTATTTAAAAAAAAAAATTAAATTATATAAATATAAAAAATTTAATAAATGCATTAAAAATTAAGATTTTTTCAACTTAAAAAAATTATTATTATTATTATTTAAACTTATTTTAAAATATAAATAAAGGAAAATACTCACTAACAATCTATTAGTGTCCATTTTTAATAATGTCAAACCTTTATCCGAACAATACACAAGAAAGAACACTACAAACTGAAAACACAACTAGTTATAACCAAGGACGACGGGAAAAACAATCGAATACACCAATCAAGTGTTGGTATGAGACACGTGCGATGAAGTAACACGTGTAGGCAATTTTCATGAAGTTCAGAGATTTACAGATCAATATTTTCCCCAAAATACATGATATTTCCATTTTATGGAATTTCCTATTCACGGGAAAGATTTTTAAAAAAAAGAAAAACAAAAGTGAAGATAAGTAGTTCTGTATACATAATAAATAAAATGCACACACGACTAAGTGTTAGGTAAATTACCTTTAAATTATTTTTTTTAAAAAAATACATAAATTTATTTAAAAATTCGATTATATTTTTTGGAATATATTCAATTAATATTATTTTAATGAGTTAATTCAGAAAGATAGTACAATGCTAGGTTAATTTATTGAAGTAAAATGATATAGCATTTTTCTTTTTTAGACAAAAAAAAAAAAATGAGTCAAAAACTCGTTCTTAAAATTTTATCGATAGGAAATCCCTAATATTCAGAATACACGTAATACTACACACAATTATAAAATGACACTAAGCATGACTGAGTTAAGCACGATTCTCCTTTAATATGTGAACAATTTTCCCCAATCTTAAAGTGAAATTCTTCATTTCTATTTTATTTTTAAATTTTCATTGTAATGTTATCGATCATTAAATTCTTTCTTTACGTAACTGATATTATTAATTAATATTGCATGCGGTTATCTGCCCACGTTAAAGTGGTCGAGTGTGATGTTACTTTACGTCATTTTACACATCATTATTACAAGAAGACTACTATACACCACTGATTATCATAATGAATCTTTGCGATAATGAATGAACGTTTCCTGTTAATTAGATTGTATATTTCTATGATTTTTTAATGGAATATGTCTGATGAAATGACTCACTTCCTTGATTGTAATCAAATTAGTAACTTATATTAAAAAAATAATAATAATAAAATAAAAAAAAATACCATTCATATTGTGTAAGAAATTAATTACTTCACGGTTGTACTGACTTANTTCAAAATTACCCAATAAACTTAAAACCCTTTCTTAATTAATATTATCTCATGTTAAGTGATGACAATAAGACTTGAGGCTATAGAAAAGAAGAAAAACTAAACAAATTTGCACAGATCACTTACAAAATTGCAATTATCTTATAATAAAACTAACATTCTACTTGAAATTTGAAAGTTTAAATATAAAATGATATTAACATTCTTATAGGTATTAAATTATTAATTCATGTTTTAATACCCTCATTACAAATCATAGCACAATTTAAATTATTAATCCACATAAATATTCATTAAATCAGTCAATATATTGATATAAAGTTGTCAATATTAATATCTAAATCTTAATTAATCCTTTACTTTATATTAATTATTTAATGTTATTTATTAATCTACGCTGATAGTAGCTTTTATCCATGTGATAACATATAATATCCGTCACTTGTTAAAATCTTGGAATATTAAATTTTGCTTATGAAATTAATTTACATGTGGAAAAGTTTAAATTTATCATAGAAAATATATTATTTAATATTTTTATTTCATACCTGTGTGTATTTTATGTCATTACAAAGAATCACAATCCTTAATTGATTCAATTAAGTTGTTAACTACTTAAAAACTAATAATTAATTATACATTTATGAGTTGTAAATTGTTAAATTGTACATTAAGTGAGAGGTGTTATAAAAATAAAATGATTTAATTATTTAACTAATTAAATAATTTTTTAAAAATACTTTGATATAGTTCCAAAGTTTGATATACTTTTGCTATTTTTAGTATTAATTATCTTCTTATTAAGTCTCAAAAAGGAATGAATACTAAATAAAATTAATATATAATTATATNATTTATTTCAGAAATGCATATTTTTTGCATTTAAATTAGGTAGAGTATGACTACTTTTTTCAAGTACTAACTGAATTTATAAGTGAAAAAAATGTATTATGAAGAGTAATATCAATACACAAGAGAAATTTCCCTTAATATAATGTATGCAAAATTTAAATTCTATCTCCCACATGTAAAATTTGTTTCATTCAAACTTAACAAAGGGCTAATTAATTTAAATCTGAATAATTTGTAATAAAAATTACTTAAGAGATTAAATTGAATATTGTAGAATATTACCTATTTTATTCTTGTTTAAGTAAAATTCTGAATAATATTTTTCATATAACTTTTTGTTATATTTCTGAATATTCAAATTAAATGGATCATTGCTTTAATTTCCTATAAATAACTGTTTTTATACGATTTAAAAAAAAGAATTCAGTAATAGAATATTTATGTAAAACTAATGTAATCAAGAATAAAATCAATTTTAAAACAAACATTGAATAATTCATGAATATCACATATTTAATTACTATTACTAGAAGGTTGATAAAGCAATTTTACTGATTAACCTTCAAAATGTTTAGAAGGTTGATCAGTAAAATTGCCTTATCAATTTTGTAAAGTTTATTTTATAGTGGAAAAAAGTATAAAAGTTTTAAACAAATTTATTAAATTATATTTTTTATTTATAAAACAAAATTTTTGGATGTTTGTTCTAGATTAAAAAAAATATATATAATGTTAAAAAAGTAGATTTTTTCTTTATAATAAGTGTAAATTACTGCAAAGATAATTTCTTTTTTATTTTATATTGTCATTAGTGTTTAACCAGAATAAATTAACAATAAAAAGTTTGATTTCCCAAGATAATAGTTTCAATTCAATAAATTTAATTTGTTTTAGATCTAAAAAATATAATAATTTCAAACAAAATTAGAAACCTGTTTAAATTTTATATATGTGTTCATTTATAAGACTGAGTTAAGGTAAGGAATTTTAAAATTTATTCAATAATTATAAATTTTTTTTATTATATTTTTCTTCTTTTTTATTAAAAACAATAATTAAAAGTAACAGAAACTCTAAAATTTTTTATATTCTTTCTTATATAAACAATGCCCCAAATGAATAAAAATATAATAACTGAGTGCAATTTATTTTTATACAAGAATTCCCATAAAATCAACAAAAATTGTAATTATTTATAAACAATAATTTTTTCATAAAAATATATAATACAATAATTTCTTAAAATTTTCCAGTTATTTAACTTTTCTAAGTACAAAATATTAAATTGCCATTTTAGCATCAAAGAATATCTCTGATATACAAAAATATAACATGCACAATACAGTACATATATATCATGTTACAATACATTATATGTATATTACACGAGCCTTCACCATCATATAAAAAAAAATTTATAACATTCTACAGGAATGTTCATAACATGGTTTTTTCACAATGAATTTATGAAAATGATTTGAAAAAATATATATGTTTTTGAGCACATAAAGATGAAAAATTATATTATGGCATTTATATCACATTATAAGCTTGTCAGAAGTCTCATTCTTGTAAATGTCTTACAAGTTCCTTCACTTCTGTCAATTGGGCGGCATCAATTGCATTTAGAAAGACGTCAACATCTCCATGCCTCTGTATAAATAAAATAGTAAATTTTATTATTCAAAATTTATAACATTTTGTACATGTATAAAGCAATTACACTAATATCAAATTATACCACTAATTAGATTTAAAGTTCAGTACTAATTAAAAACAGAAATTTTTACATTTTTTTATATTTGAATGAATATTTTGAAAAAAACCAATGGATTTTTAATAGTGAGATTATAAATCAAGTGGTATATTGAGTATATTGGTATAATGAGTATATTATTAAATTTATAAATACAAAAACGGAGACATTTCATTAAAATATTTAAGCTATTTAATGTTAAAAATATAAAATAAGTAAAGAAANAGTGGAAAAAAGTATAAAAGTTTTAAACAAATTTATTAAATTATATTTTTTATTTATAAAACAAAATTTTTGGATGTTTGTTCTAGATTAAAAAAAATATATATAATGTTAAAAAAGTAGATTTTTTCTTTATAATAAGTGTAAATTACTGCAAAGATAATTTCTTTTTTATTTTATATTGTCATTAGTGTTTAACCAGAATAAATTAACAATAAAAAGTTTGATTTCCCAAGATAATAGTTTCAATTCAATAAATTTAATTTGTTTTAGATCTAAAAAATATAATAATTTCAAACAAAATTAGAAACCTGTTTAAATTTTATATATGTGTTCATTTATAAGACTGAGTTAAGGTAAGGAATTTTAAAATTTATTCAATAATTATAAATTTTTTTTATTATATTTTTCTTCTTTTTTATTAAAAACAATAATTAAAAGTAACAGAAACTCTAAAATTTTTTATATTCTTTCTTATATAAACAATGCCCCAAATGAATAAAAATATAATAACTGAGTGCAATTTATTTTTATACAAGAATTCCCATAAAATCAACAAAAATTGTAATTATTTATAAACAATAATTTTTTCATAAAAATATATAATACAATAATTTCTTAAAATTTTCCAGTTATTTAACTTTTCTAAGTACAAAATATTAAATTGCCATTTTAGCATCAAAGAATATCTCTGATATACAAAAATATAACATGCACAATACAGTACATATATATCATGTTACAATACATTATATGTATATTACACGAGCCTTCACCATCATATAAAAAAAAATTTATAACATTCTACAGGAATGTTCATAACATGGTTTTTTCACAATGAATTTATGAAAATGATTTGAAAAAATATATATGTTTTTGAGCACATAAAGATGAAAAATTATATTATGGCATTTATATCACATTATAAGCTTGTCAGAAGTCTCATTCTTGTAAATGTCTTACAAGTTCCTTCACTTCTGTCAATTGGGCGGCATCAATTGCATTTAGAAAGACGTCAACATCTCCATGCCTCTGTATAAATAAAATAGTAAATTTTATTATTCAAAATTTATAACATTTTGTACATGTATAAAGCAATTACACTAATATCAAATTATACCACTAATTAGATTTAAAGTTCAGTACTAATTAAAAACAGAAATTTTTACATTTTTTTATATTTGAATGAATATTTTGAAAAAAACCAATGGATTTTTAATAGTGAGATTATAAATCAAGTGGTATATTGAGTATATTGGTATAATGAGTATATTATTAAATTTATAAATACAAAAACGGAGACATTTCATTAAAATATTTAAGCTATTTAATGTTAAAAATATAAAATAAGTAAAGAAAGACAATAGGACATTTTTCTTAATTGAATTATTTAGCAATCTGCTTCAAATATAGTAGTGGTTTATGAAACTAAACAAAGTTTTAAGAAAGATAAAACTAATGTAAGATTTTATCTTGTTGCAAATTACTATTACTGTATTTTCATAATCAAATAGAGAAATTTTCTGTCAATATTAGGAAATGATAAAAATAGCCTGAAAAAAATTAATTCTTAGTTATGAATTAAAGTCTTATCTACTGCAACTCTCAAAAGCTGCAGTATTGTTATCTGAATTTTCAAATTCAAATAATTTTAGAATCTATTGTAGGAAATGCCTTGTATGAAGATAATGTTGTTTAGTTATCAAAAATTTGAAAAATATATAATTTTGTAAATAAAATTCCTGGATTTTTAATATTATATTCATGTGTTTGCTAATGATGTCTGAACATCAATTTTTAAATTACAAAAATCTAAAATAGATTCCATTTACTGTTTTATACTTTTAAATTTTCAAAAGATCACTTTAAAAAAGGTGCTGTTTTCTATAAAGCATTCTTACAAAAAGCAAATGCTTAAAATTTTAAAATAAAATAAATTACATGGATTTAAAAATCCATTTTATTCATTTATTTTTGTTTCTGTGAGAATTTTCAATGTATATAAATGTAAATTACGAATGGCTGGATGGCCAAGGGGTCAAGGTGGCAGCCAACCACTCTGGGGACCTGGGATCGAATCCAGATGAGTCAAAAAATCCCCAGGAATTTTTCGGGGTGTTGGTCCATTCAGATATGTCAGGCCTGTCCCTCACTACCCGGTCGCCCCATTGTGGGCCTAGCCAAACCCATAAAAGGCTTGCTAAAAGAGGCCCTCTTAGTGCCCACAGGGCAGAAAGAGTTAAAAAAAAAAAGTATGTAAACTACTAGAAATTCTATTCTTTATCATACTTTATTGTACATGCTATAAAAACTTTATTTAATAATTAACTCTTAATACTTTATATTTAAAAAATTTAGTAACATTTTAAACAAGTAAGTTTAATGTTTTACTATTATGGAAATATAATTGTAATGGCAGTTTCAATGGAAACTTAGCTACAGGAAGGATTAAAGCTATAGACTCCAGCAATAGCCTTTAAGATAAAATATGTTGTAAATTAGGGCTTTTATCTTCATTTGTGTAGCATTTTTCTGATCAAAATGTAAACTCATTTTTAAAGTTTCAACTTTTCTACAATTTATCATAGCAATTAAACATTTTTATAGTGTTATAAATAATAAACTGAATGAGTAACTTAAAATTTGCATTTTGTTATTATCCATAATATGAAGATTATAATTTACATTTTATTCTACATACATCAAATAAAATGCACATTGATGTTTACATAATTTTGACATTTTACAGGAAAAATACTCAACTACAAATATTGATGTAAAATTAAATCAGAAGCTTAAATCCAACTATTATAATTAGCAATGTAATGTTGACACATACTAAAAGAAACATATTACAAGTGTAAATTATAAATATCTGATAACAGGATTAGATTAAATATCATTATTTGGCAACATATTCAAATGAATACTTTATTTTTAACAAATTATATAATGAAATTTCATGAATAATTTACAAGTAAATCAATTATTATATTTAAATATGTAATCAAGTTAATTTCCACTTTTATTAATATCAATATTTACCTGGAAATGTTTAATGATTGTCCTTGTTGGGCTAACTTCTTTTTCGAGTGGAGTGTCAATACCCAAGAATAAAGCCAATTTTTCCCAGCCTAATTGGGGTGGATCCAGCAGTTCACATAATTTGTTTAATGTTTTTTCATCAAATAATGTTATTTCACCTATGCAAAGTTAAAACAAAATAATAAAGTCAATACATTAAGGATTTATCATATAACTTTTGATGTAATTAATAACTATAATAGAAAAAAAAATTTAATTTAGATAATAGAATTTAATTAATAAAATCTATTCTTCAATTTATAGATTTATATTTATACTTTCAGCAACAGCCATTAGCTGATATAATATTATATCTATTTGCATTTATGTATTTTATATGTCATCATAAGTTATGAGACTGTTTATGAAAACCATCTCTTAATTTATGATGATGTAATTTATGTCATCTTAAATTTACATATATAAATATATATAAATTTGGATGTATATATTATATGTTATATCTAAACATAGTTAAAAATATACTACATATTTATTAGTTCATATTACAATTATCAATTTAATAACTTATTATCAAATAATATTTATTTTGTAAGTTTCACACAAATAAATTAAATGCAATATTATAAATAAATTTTGTCATTCTGTACATTTTCTATAAACATTTTTTTATAATTAATTTATAAAAAATTCTTTTATTAAAAATAATTTAGTGAAATTTCAAAAATATGAAGCAATTTTAATTCTGAAGCTGGAACATTATCTTTATTAATAAATTAAATGGATTATTGAACTACACTTGTATTACACTATATTTTCATTACATTTATTTTTACTAAATTAAAAATTACTAATTTGTTTATTAATTTAGAATCATTTTATGACCAAGATGAATTTATGTTTAAAATGTCATCTGAAGAGTTAGTATTCAATAAATTTAAGTTAATAAAAAGATTAATTTTCATGTTTTGGGACATGCTAATTCTAATACCTTTAAATGATTGATAAAAATATTCATGATTATAATAAGCAGATTCTACTGTATAATGTAACTAAATACATCAATCAAAACCTTGATAATCCCAGTATATAATTTAATGTAAATTCGACAAACATTTTCAATATAACTTTTTATCTTTATATTTTATTATTAAATATAAATAATAAAACATATAATATAAATATAAAATTAAATAATATAATTCAGATATGACAGCATTAATATTTGTTCATTATTCAAAAAATCCAAAAACTTTTCTAACTTTTTTTAAAGCTGGAACACCAAATTATTTTTGGTAAATGAAGATTTATGAACAAAAACTATTACATAAATAAATTTGAAGGTGAATTATCTGAATGTAAAAATACTAAACAATTTAATAGAACTTTTGTTCTTGAAGCAAAATTTTGTTATGTACTTTGAAAATAAATAAATAAAACAGTTCATTTTGCTCAGACACAATAACGTTATTGTATCTGAATAAAGAAAATTAAATTAAAACACAGTTTCATCAGAATAAAAACAGTTCATATTTATTGTGAATAGTTTGCTGAGATTAAAATTTGAATAGTCTTTTAAATAATGTTAATTATACTAAATTAAGGATCCCTGAAAAACAAGTTTGTGTCTGACTTCTGTAATTTATGATATCTACAGAGAAAAGTAAATTCAAGGCCAGTTCCTTAAGTTCATAAACTAGATATGTGAATGCCAAGATATTCTTTATCAAATTGGAATATCTGAATTGTTAAATTAATTTATAAAATTTGTCATCATAGAATATAAAAACCTTAATAATTAAATAAGGAAAAAATTATATATAAAACTATTAATAATTAGCAGTGCTTATCAACAGAACAATTCTGAAGAATTTCGTAAAAGAAAAAAAAACCCCAACAGTACATTAAAATCAATGACATTTCTCATTCAGTAAGAACATTTTACAAGTTCATATACACGTAAATTAAATTTAAAAAATGTTTTCGTGCATGTACAGCGTACAACACGCATCAATGTATTCGTCTATTGAGATAAATATTTTTTTTATGAGCATTGTTTAATGCTTTAGATTAGTTTTTAATGTAACAAGTCGTAAAAAGTTTAAACCACCCATTTAAAAAGGAACCACGCTAATAATAGTAAACAGCCTATATTACAGTGTAGAAGGAGTACAATAAATAACATTAAAAATCGCTTCGCTTCCTTATAAAACAATACAAAATAACATTCTTTTTATATCTTTAAAAGAAAATTTTAACTTTCAATTTAAAAAAGTAACAATTAATTACATTATTATATATTAAAATTACACAAATTGTTACTGTTAACATTAACCTACAATTACGAATATTTATATGTATTGTTTCCTTTAAATAAAAGAATATTTTAAAATAATTTTTAAAACAAAAATCTTCATTTTATTTCCTATTTTTTTAAATAAATTCTTTCTTATTGGAGCATAAACAAACAAAAAAAAAAATACATTTTATGCGTCAAGTAGGAAATTTATTATTATTATTTCATTGATATTTTTAGTAAAATATAACTTTAAATTTTTAAAAATTAAAAACGAATTTAATTGTTTAAATAATTTATAAACATTTTAAATCAATTCAAAACACTAAATAAATATTATATTTAATATTATTTCTTCACTTTTGACATATGAACTTGTAGAATATTTATAAGAAACTAACATAAACAAGCAAAACCAGATTTAGCTCAGCTTATATTTATATACATTTAAACTTAAAACATTTTTTATTGTCTTAAACTTTAAAATAACTTATTTAAAAAAAAAAATTAAATTATATAAATATAAAAAATTTAATAAATGCATTAAAAATTAAGATTTTTTCAACTTAAAAAAATTATTATTATTATTATTTAAACTTATTTTAAAATATAAATAAAGGAAAATACTCACTAACAATCTATTAGTGTCCATTTTTAATAATGTCAAACCTTTATCCGAACAATACACAAGAAAGAACACTACAAACTGAAAACACAACTAGTTATAACCAAGGACGACGGGAAAAACAATCGAATACACCAATCAAGTGTTGGTATGAGACACGTGCGATGAAGTAACACGTGTAGGCAATTTTCATGAAGTTCAGAGATTTACAGATCAATATTTTCCCCAAAATACATGATATTTCCATTTTATGGAATTTCCTATTCACGGGAAAGATTTTTTAAAAAAAAGAAAAACAAAAGTGAAGATAAGTAGTTATGTATACATAATAAATAAAATGCACACACGACTAAGTGTTAGGTAAATTACCTTTAAATTATTTTTTTTAAAAAAATACATAAATTTATTTAAAAATTCGATTATATTTTTTGGAATATATTCAATTAATATTATTTTAATGAGTTAATTCAGAAAGATAGTACAATGCTAGGTTAATTTATTGAAGTAAAATGATATAGCATTTTTCTTTTTTAGACAAAAAAAAAAAAATGAGTCAAAAACTCGTTCTTAAAATTTTATCGATAGGAAATCCCTAATATTCAGAATACACGTAATACTACACACAATTATAAAATGACACTAAGCATGACTGAGTTAAGCACGATTCTCCTTTAATATGTGAACAATTTTCCCCAATCTTAAAGTGAAATTCTTCATTTCTATTTTATTTTTAAATTTTCATTGTAATGTTATCGATCATTAAATTCTTTCTTTACGTAACTGATATTATTAATTAATATTGCATGCGGTTATCTGCCCACGTTAAAGTGGTCGAGTGTGATGTTACTTTACGTCATTTTACACATCATTATTACAAGAAGACTACTATACACCACTGATTATCATAATGAATCTTTGCGATAATGAATGAACGTTTCCTGTTAATTAGATTGTATATTTCTATGATTTTTTAATGGAATATGTCTGATGAAATGACTCACTTCCTTGATTGTAATCAAATTAGTAACTTATATTAAAAAAATAATAATAATAAAATAAAAAAAAATACCATTCATATTGTGTAAGAAATTAATTACTTCACGGTTGTACTGACTTATAAGGCGTATTATACACTCTTCTATATTTAATTATATTATTTTTGTGAATTTCTGTTTATTTTCATCTATTAAATAAGAAAAATGTTGACTTTAATAATTAAATTAATTATTGATAATAATAATTAGAGTAAAACATTACTCAATTAGCTTCTTCATTCCAATTTGTTATATTATAGAAAAGATTGTAATTAATTTTGCAAAATTAATTACAGTCTTTCAATTAAGAACATGTTTTTTTTTGCAATTAAAAAATTTTTTAAATTATATTTATAATAATAATTAATTTAATTAATGCATTATAGATTATTATAAGCATTATTGATCAATTATAACCATCATTGAAGGAAGCAGAGCATTTAATATTATATTATTATATAATTAATTAATAATTATATAAAATTGCTTAAACTGAAGAAGGCTTTTAATATAGCCAAAAACATTAGTTCATTTGATTTAATTTAAAAAGTTTGCTACAAAAGAAAGAAAGGTGTTTTGAAAGTTAATAACTTAATATATAAAATAATACTTTATAACCTGTTTAATAAAATTGGATTAATGTCCAATAGAAAATATAGTAATTTATTTCAGAAATGCATATTTTTTGCATTTAAATTAGGTAGAGTATGACTACTTTTTTCAAGTACTAACTGAATTTATAAGTGAAAAAAATGTATTATGAAGAGTAATATCAATACACAAGAGAAATTTCCCTTAATNATATACAGTAGAGCGTCGATTTTCCGAAAGTCAATCATCCAAAACGTCAATGATCCGAAAGATTTCCAGTTGGCAAATTTAAATTTTCGCCAGTGCTGTGGAGCTTCAATCTTTGGCTATGTCTTGGACTATTCAAATATTTTACGTTTTTGATACTAAATTAACATCTGAAGTAAATTTTTTATTGTTTTTATATTTTTCAATATATTTATTTTGTTTGTACAAAATAAAAAAATAATTTTTAATGATACAATAGTCTTTGTTAGGCTTAACATCAACGAAAATTCAACGCGAAGCGACAAGCAACGGAGAAAAATTTCAACATTGGATACGTTAAACTATTTTTTCGTACATAAATCGGTTATCCGAAATATCAGTTATACGAACAACCCCAGTCCCCAATTGATTCGGAAAATCGACGCTCTACTGTATTGTGAAGTCTAAATTTCATAATTAATAGAAACATATTATGACCTTATCTCTTGATCAGAGTTTATTAAAATGTAAAAATAATAAAATTTTATTAACCTATTTATTCTAATATTGGACTTTTTTAGTTATATACAGTAGAATACTGATATTCCAAGTTAATGTGGTTAACTTGTGGTTTATGTGGTTAAATGTAAGTTAACACTATCTCAGATAGCCAAAGCAATTTTAGATTAAAAATATAAAACATTTTATGTGCTATATCACTTATTAAATGATAAAAGAGAACAGAAATAAATCATTTTGCAATATATGTTATTGTTTTAAACTTTTTTATGAATTACAGTATAAGAAAAATAATGTATTCACTACAGGTTTGCCTCTGATAATGTGAAACTTTGGTTAATCAGGACTTAGATAGTTGGAGTTCTACTGTAATTACTATATATTTTTGGTATTAAATATAGTCATTCACAATTAGTTTAATTAACCAATGTCTGATTAAGAAAAAGAAATCAACAAAAGAAAAATTACAGTCAATATTCTCAACACCTTACAATACAATGAATTCAAGATATAATTATTTTTTGATGACAGCACAATGAGTTAATGTTTATTTGACTGGCTTTTCAAATCACATTTTATGAATAAGTGATGTCATAATTGTTTACATAATTAGGAGATACACATTTATATTGACAATACAATAAAACTGTGTATTTCTTAATTATGATTTTTGGGAAAGAAGACTATATATTTCTATTTTACATAATTTATAAATNTTAATGTATCTAAATTGTTTTTTCTTAGATAAATACAGAAAAGCAGTTAAAGAACATCTTAATTTCCCATACTCTTCATTTACATGAATTATTCAATATAGTTATTTAAAAAATAGCTAACAAATTTTAAATAGTACATTAATCAAAATTACTTACTACTGCAAAATCCAGAATCCATTACGCTCTGATTATCATCATCTTTCTTATTTACGTCATCATTACTTTCAACACTCCTATCACTTGTTTTGAATTTAACATCAATATTTAATGAAGATGGATGTTCAGAAACATCCATTGATTCTAGTACAGTAATGCCTTTCAGAATATCAATAATCTGAAATATAAATAAGATTGTAAGAAGATTCACTTATATCTCAGTTATGTTTAAAGTTAATAAATTGTTAGGAAAATATTTTTAAAGTTGTTGAAAGATTAAAACTTGTACTTAATTTTATTATTAAAAAATTAATCTTGAATAAGTTACAGATAATTGTGATATTCCTAGTTTTTCATAAGTCATGCACTGTAGGAGATTGTGCAGAGAAATATTAATTGATTATAGACAAAACATCAGGGACAAGTATACAGTTATTGATATTGATTATATGATGCATCATTTCAAGTCTGCAATACTGTCAAATGAAAATTAATTGCACAAAATTCGTATGCTTGGTTGAATCACTTTCAACTAATATAAGCCCAGCTGCCTAGTTCTGTAACTCACAACTAGGTAAGTTGTGAAGATTGAATTTGTTCTGTTTAATACACAAATCATTACCAATTTTTTATAATTGTTGTGTTTAATTTTATTTAAATAAAACTACCAGTTTTTTAATGTTATTTTTAATGTGTCACATTCTTGCTATCATCTGCATATTGAGTATTAAAAAGAAATTTGATCCTCAAAACATACCAATTAGTTACAGATCCATGCAGATGAGCCAACATTAGTTGAAAGGCAAGCATATGAATTTTGTGAAATTAATTTCCTTTTGATAGTATTGCAGACCCAAAATGATGCATCATAAGTTATAACCAGTACATTATGCACCTGCCCCTGATGTATTGCCTAGAATCTCCTGATGTTTCTCCACACTATCTTCTATGGTGTGTGACTTACGACAAACACTGTATAGTAAAAATTAAGTACTATAAATCATGAATAAATTGAAAATTACAATAAAATAAAAATTAAACCTTACAAGGAACTTTACCAGTGTATTTGTTTTGTTCCAAATTATTGATATAAATAAATGGATTCACATTGATAACTTGATTCAACTTATTTATGAATCAATTTTTATTAAATCCATGTCTAGTAAAACGAAACTGTTTCTCATTCAGTAAAACAGTTATGAATGAAGACAGATATTTAAATATATGCTGCTCAATATGTGGTCACAATGCATACTGTGTTATTTACTACTAAATAAGCTTTCTGCTGAACATTACTTTCATATTTATAACATTCAACTGTAATGTGCAGATCAAATTTTGCTGTTTTACTCATTATCATTTGTATTTAATGTAAAATGAATAAAAAAATTTTTTGTTAAAATTTTGTAAAACTATAAGTCAACCAATGATGTGTGTCATGTATCGAATTATAGTGCTGTTTGAAATTTTGTAATGCATAATATCATTTCTTAATTAAGAAACTTTAATTTGCTAGTTTGGTTTTAATAATTGACCTTACATTATTTCTCTCATTTTCTACAAGCACTTTTGAGAATAATTTTTTATTGTTTTTAATAACAGTTCAAAATATAAAAAAATAAAAGAATAAATTAATATTAATATAGAGTAATTATGTGTTTCAAGTTATGGCAGCTAATCCTCTATTAAGAAGAGCATAAACAATAACATTTGTGAGAACAATAGATAGTTATGAGAGGTTTGATACTATTAGTAATTCCTAAAAATACATGAAAATCTGTTTTATACATTTAAACATTCTTTTAAAGAACAGATAAATTTCAAATTATATTTCAGTCTTAATTCTATTGCAAAAATTCAAACTGTCAGAAAAATTAAGGTAATGAACTTGACAGTTTTTCAGTAATATTTATTTAGTAGAAAGTTTTTTCTATTAAGCAAATATCAAAACTATTATAGTCAATATAGTAAATATAAACAATGTATAATAACATATTTAAATCTTCATATATAACAAATTAGTCAAAATATAATAATAATTATTAAATTTTACAGTTTATACTTTATTATACCTCTTTGTCTCCCTCTGTGAGATCAAAAGCAGTTTTTCCAAGATCATCATCATCATCATCATCATCTCTACATTTGTCATCAGTATCTGAATCATTCATTTCATCATCATCATCCTCTTCAAAGCTACCATAAGTGTCATAATTAAGTATATTTGGATTAGATCCTTCTTTAATTAGTTTCATGATAGAATCTTTTAATTTACGAGAACATGCCAAATGTAATGCAGTGTTTCCAGCATAATCTTGTAGATCAAACTCTATATTTGCCTAAAATAAACAAATAAATAAATTATAATTGATTTGAAAAGTTAATTAAAACTACATAAATATACACCACAAAATCATAAAAACTTTGTTCTTCATTACATCATAAATAAAACAAAACAATGGAATCTATTTCTGTATTTGATTATTTTAATCTAAACAACAAAAATACATCAAAAAGAAAAGAAAATTTTACTTAGTTCTACAATCAATTTTATAAAATTATAGCACAATTAATTAATATTCTATTTTAATATAAAACAATTAAACTATGATATTATAAATTTACCTGTTTTAGCAAAATATCCAATGCTTGAGGATTATATTCAATTGCCAAATGTAAAGCACTTCTACCTCGAGTACCTTCTTGTTGATTTACATCACCTCCTGCTTGACAAAGAAGTCTAATGCATGATTCATTACCTTTGGTAATTGCTAGATGTAAAGCTGCTTGACCTGAAAAAAATTTTTTAAATATATATATAATAATTCCATTTTTTAATTTTATCACACAGATGACATTGAAAATAATAATTATAAATGGTTGAATAAAAAATATGAAAAGAAATTTACCACAATAATTTAATATAGATAATCTTGGATAGTTGTTTTCATAATTGCAATAATTATTAAAGCAAAGAAGATGTGAAAGACTTTCTACATTGTTAGTTTCTATAGCTAATTGAACAGATGTATTTCCATATCTGTCTTGAATATTAGGATCAGCACCATGTTTTAAAAGGGATGGTATAATTTTTGGACAAAGTCTAACTGCTAAATGCAAACATGTCTATAAAAAAAAATATGAATTTTGTTAATAACATAGAATGAAAGGATATATTTGAAAAAAGTTTGATGTTTACACATACCTGATGGAGATTATTGAGATGATTTATTGGATTACACATATCTGACATTATATCAAGGAATATCTGAATTATACTTATATTTTCTGGTTGATGCAATATGGCTAAGTGAAGAGGACTGAAATTTCAAATAGGAACATACTATTAATATAAAATAAAAAATTAATAAATCATTGTGATTTAAAATACTTACGTATCTCCTGCATCATTTCCTACTGCTAACAAGTAATGCTTATCTGCTAACAATTCTCTTACATCACCAGTAGCAGAAAAATACTGTAAATTTTCTGCTTCTTCTTTTGCTAATATCCTTGAAATATGTTTAACTTCTTCTTGAATTCTTTTTTCACATAATAACTGTATTAAATTTGAATCTATGGAAGAAAATGGATTAACTCCAAACCTTCCAAGTCTAACAGTCAGGTAAGATGAAAAATCATTGATAATTTTTGACATATTTGATTGAAAGATGGAGAGTGAATGATACATCTCATTTTCAGATAAGTCTGAAGAATGTTTTGACTTTTCTTGTGAGTGCATTACTTCTTTCATTGATTTGTTTATGATGGTTTGTAATTCAAAAGTCTTCTTTAAAATTTCATCTTTAAGAAGTTCAAAATCTTTACTTGAATTAGTGATTAATTTCCTTAAAACGTCTAAAATAATGAAATATATAAAATTTGAAATGAATATAAAATAATCAGAAACGGCTTTATTATATTTAAATAAAATTTTAAAAAATTAATATACTTAATTGAACAATGACCTTAACACTTTGTAAATAATTATGCTAATTTATAATCTCTTACATTAATTTACACAATAATATGGTGATAGAAAATAATTTTCATTACCAATATTTTATTGAAAATAATTCATGAATAATGTTAGATTTTCTAATTATTTCAAATAACAAAGTTTTAAAATAAAATTTATTATTTAATAGGAAAAACTTTGCATGTCTTCTTGAACACTTCACCTTTTTTTAAAGGATCGTCATGATGACTAGAAATTTTTTTGATATCTTGACTAAATTCTACAGGATTTTGCATTTCATCTATCAATTCAGAACTATCAGAAGTTTCTTCTTTAAAAATCGCTTCCCTCTGATATCCTGGTGGACTTTTACCTACCAAAGTATATAACAAAATTACAATCATTTCATGTTCATTCTTATTATTGTACTGTACATAGATATAACAATTCCCCTAAAAACACAAATCAACTTTCAAAATGAGATATTTTTAAAATTATTTACAGTTATTATTATTTCAAATAAATAATAAGAATTGAAAAAGTATTCTTAATCTTTAAAATGTTATATTATATATTGGTAAAATTCTAAGTTTATTATTAATATTCATCAAACTAAATTACAGTAAAACCTTGTTAAGTTGAATTGCATTAACTCAAAGCAGTCAACAAGTCCAAAACACAGTATATCGAGTTTTTCATGTAATACAGCATTCTTAAATCAATTTTGAATGATTAAGTACTTTTAACTCAACCGTATTTTCCCATGTAACTTCTGTCCTTGATCTTCATTTTCTCTCCTATTCCATGTAAATACATATGATTAAGATAAATAAACACTAAGGCACTGTGCCAAACATAATGCCATACTATTACAACCTCATGTCAACATCATTTTACTGATACAGTATGTTATCAGCATTCTAATTGAGACACAAGGAAGGTGCTTTGACAACAGTCACAGAAGTGCCATAAACTGTGTATAATTTTGTAATCATACTGTGAATAGATTTGTGAGAAATGGCTTGATAATGGAAAATTTAGGGCCACAGAAAAATTTGAGAAAACTGGATATTAAACTAGTTAATTTCAAACTTCTTAACTCAAACTTCTTGCTATTTTTTACTCCTTAAATTTTGAAAAGATTTTACTGTATATAATTTCAAAAATATTAAAAGTTTTTAATTAAAATCTGATAATGCGTATGGAATATACAAAATTTCTATACAAATATGCATATATTTAATACCATTATCATTATTATATTGTAACTTTTTATAAAATTTTATGCTATATATCAGCAGTTCTCAACCTTCTTTCATTCACATACCACCTGAACCTTCTGTGTATAGACTTGTAACACTAATGGATCGTTCTTGCATTCCCCCAGTGGTACATGTGCCACTGATTGAGAACTGCTGCTATATATTAATATAAATACTAAAGTATTTCCATTCATACATAGTGTTAATATGAAATATTTTTTTATTCCTAATATTCAAAAATGCTAATGCTTTATATATAAAAAGAAACGAAAATTATAATATAAATATATTAACTGTATCAAAATAGTCTGATTGTCTGAATAATTCAAATACTTTAAATTCAATAAATGAAAGCCTAATATTATTATAATTATTTGTTTAAATTAAAAATGACATTGAATAATTATTAATCACTTTAACTTTTATATGAATCTTTTTATAATAAAATAATTAACTAAGATTACTATCAATTAAATAAGATTTATGACTATATTAATAACTAATTTTACATAGTACCGAGGAGTAATTTCAGTCAAATTAAATGGAAAAAAGAAACTAAAATTAAAAAAGATGAATGTTCATATAGAATACAAAACAAGAAATATAATAAAAAATTTTAGTCAGTCAAACTATCTGAAAATTATATTACGCAATTTATTTTAAATGTTCTAAAATTAGACATTTCAATTTAAGTGTTAGTCTCATCAGAATTGAAGAAATCAATACATTTATTTAAATAAATATTAGTCATTTTATAAACTTTACTCTAAATTATAGATGAATTTTTAATGTATAATTACCAAAGAAACCATGCAATCCTTCATCTCCTCCATTACCCAAATCAGAAGGACCAGTATGATAGGAACCTGGATCATAATGGTTAGTATGATAGCCAAATCCTCCAAATCCAGGATTAAAATTAGGTTTCTTCCTTTTCTGTTCTACACCATCTTTATCTTTAAATAAATATATTTAAGTTTTTAAAAAATAAATAATTTATAGTGTTTTATATTATTTAATATGCAATTATTACTTGTTTTAATTTTCAACATATTAAAAACTCACCATGATCAACTGGTTTGTAATGAAACTCTTTTGCTTCACTACATTCTCCATCTTTACTTCTGAATAACTGAAGATATACTTTTACCGCACTTTTAATTTCTGTGTTATGATAAGCTGGTGTACGAAATACAATTGCCACCTTCAGTTAAAGAATAATGATGTTAATATAAATTTATAGAAATTAATTTTGATATTAACAATGATTAAAATTAAATACTGAAAGATGAAAGATTTAAAGATATATTTAAATAAAAATTTAATCTCTGAATTTAAGATTACTTCAGTTTCAGATTGTCTCATTTTAAAATAAACTTAAACTAAAAATGTCATAACATTTTTAGATTACATTAAAGCAAATTTAATAATTATCTCAATTAACCAATTGGCTTATCAAACTGCAATGGAGCCAAGTAATCAAGATTATTTTGAGAAATTAAGATTTTTATTAGTGGAATGAATGCATTTTGGTCCTCAATAGACACTCCTTTTTTAGATGCAAGAAGCTTACAACTATACATTAAGGCTAATTTAAATTAATTTGATAACCAAATTTCATCTAAAAATATGAAGTTGTGCTTTGTCTTAAGTAAAGATTAATAATTAAAAATTCATTTTGAATTTAATTAAATAATATTAAAAATTCTGATATAAAAGATGGATCTGAAACAGGATATGAACTTGTAAATTTCATTTACCATGCCAAATGAATTACCAGTTAAGCTATTCAGATCTTTATTCAGACATAATTTAATATGAACTAATAACATCCAATAACTGACCAACAATTTGGACTGATAACTGAACAAGATGCACAGTAAGAAGTTGTGAGTTTGAGTCTTGCTCTAAGTCAATCCGATTCTTCCAGAATTTTTCTAATTTATTTAATTAAATTCAAATTAATTTCTAATCACTAACATATAAGATGGTACAGCAGTTAAGCTCAACTTTAGATCAAATTTAGCTATATTATGTATGTATTTTTAAACAATATCATCATCTTATTAACTGTTTCGTTTAGTTTCGTTTATATTAATCTTTATTATCATTACCTGATAAGCAATGTATATTTATAAAAGTTATTATAAATATACATTATGACATATTTATAGGAGCTATTGCTTATCAGTATTGATATCTTATTTAAAAGATATATAAGATCAGTTTTAATTTTTAGAAATTATAATAACATTTTTCAAACTCATGCTATGATTTCCAGTCTCCAATAAATTTTAATAGATTAAAATCCATTACATACATAATGATAAATAATGCAGACAATTTAGAAAGATCACTTGTATGGTTAATTATATTAGTCATTCCTATTTCATTTCATGACAAAGCACTCTTTAGAACATTCTTACTTGTAAATATAATACAAATAGCAATATTTTTTATTACAATTCCTAAATCCTTTAATATATAACATCTTATATAAAAGTAATATAAATATCATTCTCCTGTTAATATCATTATTTAAAAAACAGCAATATTTTTAACTAAAGTAATCATATAAAAATAATTGTTAAGAAATCTAACAATGTCAATTTTGGATTGCTAAAGTTCATTTGAGACACAAACATAAATAGTTCTTAAAGGAAATTTAGTCTTCCAATATATATTCAAACTGAAATTTCATTGGGAAAATTAATACAGTAAAATACATTATTTCTTTAATTTCCTATTATATTTTGAAAATAATCTATTACAGTAATAATTATTATTTATAATATAAAAATTTATTAATTTTATTAATTCTTTTAAAGGAATATAAAATAATGAAGTAATGAAACAAAGAGGAAATTTTGATTTATATCTTTAACCAGCATAAAGATTGAAATGACTGTAATCTTATTGGATTTTCAGATATATTATAATAATTAATGAATTTAAGAGTTACTTTCTGAAATGTTACTTACTTGATGATGTACATCAGTCTCATTAAATCTTCCATAAGATTCCCACATTGTTTTACCATTTTCATCAGTTTCAAAGAAACGAATTTTAATTTCCTCTAAAATTTTAAAAGAATATAATTGAATTCAAATTCTATTTCTTTTTATGTTAATAAATAAAAAATTCTTTGAACTTACTTTTATTTACTTTTTCACAAAGAAGGAAAACTTCTTCATCACCAGTACAAACACCAGAGCATTTATCTATCCGTGAGATCTTTAATTCACCAAAATCTGGTGATTCTATTAAAAAATTGAAATTATGACATACAAGTTTGATTATTAATTATTATTATTTGCATAATTATATAATTTAATTTATTACATTATTATTAACTGTTTAATTATAGTTTTTTACATACTTTGATTAGCAACAGCATCAGAAAAAATTGGAGGACATATACTTTCATATAAATCAGAATCTGGATTATATGCAAGTGCCTCAAAACATATTTTAACAGAATTGAGATTCATATCCTTAGCTTCTTTTTCTGCTTCTTCTCTAAGATGTTGTTTTTCTGATTCTAAGTATAATATTAGTTATTAATAAAAATTATTATGATATTAAACATTATTTATAATATACACACACACACAAATTATTTCATTTCATAAATATTAAAAAAAATATACCTGTCAGAGATGATTGCGCATTTCTGATAACGAAATCTTTCAAAAGACAGAGTTCCTCCAATTTTCTGTGATATAATATTTGAGGTACTTCCTTTTTAGCTGCAAATAATATACCAAGATTTTGAAACCTGAAATCAAATTATAACATTATTACTTTATTTAATAAAAAAAGTTTAATATTTAAAACCAATATAATGAAAAAACAAAATAAATAATATTTAATTCTCTTATAAATCTATAGATTAATAATTATATCAAACTCACATTAATTACAAAAACAACAAATAAGAAAGTACTTAAGCAATATCAAAATTAAGTTCATAGTACTTTAAAACAATAGCTTTAAATGAATTTTAATAATATTTTTTTAAGTAAAATAAAATAATAATTAAATACAATATTAATTATTATATAATTGACCAAATATCAAATCCAACCTGGAGTAAAAGTGAACATTTTCAATAAACTACTATAGTTTTCTTATATTACATGTAATGAAACAGGCATAGCACTAAAATTTATATAATATAATTCCTTGTTTTTTAAATAGAGTTTTAGTAGATAAAATTAATTTAAAAGATACAGTATATCTAGTTTACAATTCTAACCTCTGCTATTTAATTATTCTCTGTTCCATAAACACAATAAAACTCAACCAAATGATTGCCTTAATTAATTGAGTTATAAATTTACTTTTATTAATGATTAGATATTAAGTAATTTGGTATTAGAGGTAGATATTAGGTGACATCTCTTATCTAAATTAATAATTATAATTTTTAATAATTTATTAAATAATTTAGAATCATCTGGAAGAAAAGAACTAGCCCGGAGTGGGACTTGAACTTTCAACCTCCGCTTACCATGCAATGCACTTACCAGTTATGCCACTCTGACCTCCTAGCAATTCTTCACTTCCAGATGCATTGAAACTTTAGATGTAACCATATGCAGTTACTCATGGTACAGCTGGGGATGACTCCTATGCCCACAGCCTAAGTACACCTCCACTATGGCACTCAGCCAGCTTTTGCTTTAATTAAGGCAATTGTTTGGTTGAGTATCAATGTATTGGGCTTTGGGAAGTTTATTATACAAAATTTGTATAGAAACAATAATAATTTTATTAAGAATTTCATTAAAAACAAATATAAAATTTGTAAATGGGTGTAATAAAAATATAGAATGATTTGATTGCTGAATGTCAAATAAACTGTTTTCAAGACTAATTCAACTTCAATTATATAAAAATTGTTTGACATAAAAAAGAAAAAAAGTGAATAAATCATAGAATGTAGAGATCAGAAAAATAATATTAATATACAATGAACAAAAGCTTTGAATTATATATTGTGGTAATTATCATAGTAAATACAGTTTGTATACTCACACTGCTGTCATATCTTCACCAAGATGTATAGTACATACTCCATCTTCATTACAATTTCTTCCCATGAGTTTATGAACATGTGGTTTAGAATCTTGTTCATTTGTATACAAACTACCACGAATACAGACCTGTCTGTTACCTCTGTAATTTTCAAGCTAAAACGAATCAAGTATATGAATATTTATTTATTCTTAACAATATGTTTAAATTATTATTAATATTAATAAATAATTCTTACCCTAACAGTTGGATAAGTTTTTCTGGTTGTATTGTTAGTTTTACCAGTCAACCCTCCATGTGATCCTTTTTCACTCCTATAACGATATCTGATTCTATTTGTTGGTTGAATAATTATATTTAAGTAGGGTTCCCCTGTAATTAAATAAATAAAATTACTTATTACTTTCTAAAATAATAAAAGCATATAACAATAAATAAAGATTACTTAATAAACTTATAATAATAATAATAATTTATCAGCAAAATTTTATAAACAAATATTAGAAATTCTATATTAGAGTTTCCAGAGCATTCTACAAATTTTCCTTTATTATAATAGTGAAATAACTCATTGTCTAAAAGAAGATATCAAGCAACAAGTTTTTTTTTTCACTATTCCAATCTATTGTTTTCTTTAGCGATATCAAATCTTCAGCTTTTTAAATTTCAAAACTTTGAAGCTTCACAATTTCGAAGTTTTAAAAGTTTTAATGCCAACATTTTTACCATAGTAATTTATCATTATTAGAAATGAATAAATTCAATCTATTATGACTTGATTAAATGATTATATCAAGAATTATTCAATTAAATTCATAAATACACACNTTAATTTAAAAGATACAGTCAACCCCCTATAACATGTAATGAAACAGGCATAGCACTAAAATTTATATAATATAATTCCTTGTTTTTTAAATAGAGTTTTAGTAGATAAAATTAATTTAAAAGATACAGTATATCTAGTTTACAATTCTAACCTCTGCTATTTAATTATTCTCTGTTCCATAAACACAATAAAACTCAACCAAATGATTGCCTTAATTAATTGAGTTATAAATTTACTTTTATTAATGATTAGATATTAAGTAATTTGGTATTAGAGGTAGATATTAGGTGACATCTCTTATCTAAATTAATAATTATAATTTTTAATAATTTATTAAATAATTTAGAATCATCTGGAAGAAAAGAACTAGCCCGGAGTGGGACTTGAACTTTCAACCTCCGCTTACCATGCAATGCACTTACCAGTTATGCCACTCTGACCTCCTAGCAATTCTTCACTTCCAGATGCATTGAAACTTTAGATGTAACCATATGCAGTTACTCATGGTACAGCTGGGGATGACTCCTATGCCCACAGCCTAAGTACACCTCCACTATGGCACTCAGCCAGCTTTTGCTTTAATTAAGGCAATTGTTTGGTTGAGTATCAATGTATTGGGCTTTGGGAAGTTTATTATACAAAATTTGTATAGAAACAATAATAATTTTATTAAGAATTTCATTAAAAACAAATATAAAATTTGTAAATGGGTGTAATAAAAATATAGAATGATTTGATTGCTGAATGTCAAATAAACTGTTTTCAAGACTAATTCAACTTCAATTATATAAAAATTGTTTGACATAAAAAAGAAAAAAAGTGAATAAATCATAGAATGTAGAGATCAGAAAAATAATATTAATATACAATGAACAAAAGCTTTGAATTATATATTGTGGTAATTATCATAGTAAATACAGTTTGTATACTCACACTGCTGTCATATCTTCACCAAGATGTATAGTACATACTCCATCTTCATTACAATTTCTTCCCATGAGTTTATGAACATGTGGTTTAGAATCTTGTTCATTTGTATACAAACTACCACGAATACAGACCTGTCTGTTACCTCTGTAATTTTCAAGCTAAAACGAATCAAGTATATGAATATTTATTTATTCTTAACAATATGTTTAAATTATTATTAATATTAATAAATAATTCTTACCCTAACAGTTGGATAAGTTTTTCTGGTTGTATTGTTAGTTTTACCAGTCAACCCTCCATGTGATCCTTTTTCACTCCTATAACGATATCTGATTCTATTTGTTGGTTGAATAATTATATTTAAGTAGGGTTCCCCTGTAATTAAATAAATAAAATTACTTATTACTTTCTAAAATAATAAAAGCATATAACAATAAATAAAGATTACTTAATAAACTTATAATAATAATAATAATTTATCAGCAAAATTTTATAAACAAATATTAGAAATTCTATATTAGAGTTTCCAGAGCATTCTACAAATTTTCCTTTATTATAATAGTGAAATAACTCATTGTCTAAAAGAAGATATCAAGCAACAAGTTTTTTTTTTCACTATTCCAATCTATTGTTTTCTTTAGCGATATCAAATCTTCAGCTTTTTAAATTTCAAAACTTTGAAGCTTCACAATTTCGAAGTTTTAAAAGTTTTAATGCCAACATTTTTACCATAGTAATTTATCATTATTAGAAATGAATAAATTCAATCTATTATGACTTGATTAAATGATTATATCAAGAATTATTCAATTAAATTCATAAATACACACCAGAAACTTTAGAAACAAGCTTTATTCAAATTCAATTTAGAATTTCAAATCTGTTTGATTATTAAACACATTTGGAATATTTTTTTTTGAAATAGAAAGTTAAGTATACGAAAGTGTTAAAAAAGATGAGGAGTAATCAATTCTTTACTTTTGTTAAAATATTATCACAAATCAAGAAAACCCTTTCACTATCAGTTAATGAAGTTTAGATGGTTTTGACCATTGAAGTTTCTCTATATTGTTTTTCATTATGTTTGCTTGCAAACACCAACATGCTTCTAATTTAATTTCTTCAACTTTATATACCTATCCAATTGTTGTTTCCAATTTAGCAAAGAATTATGAATTAAATATATTACTTACTAAAGGTAAGAAAAAGACATTCAAGCAAATTTATGTATTGTCTCAAATACTTTCAGTATCAATTATAAGCTTGTTAAGGAAAATTTGTAGAAAAAAAATAAATAAAAAAAATAATAATAAATAACACCCAAAACAAACTTTTTCTAAGATTTATATTTTAATTTTATTATTTACATAATGTTAAATATAATGTAAGCACTTAATCATAGGTTATTCATTCTATAATTACAGATTGTACTAACTTATCATTAAGATAATATTTGTTTATATAGCTACATTTTTTTTATCTCTAGTATCATTTATATGTAATTGATCTAACAACAATTATATATTTATTTTCCTTCACAGTGTTTAGCAATAAATCCAAATATTTCACCAACAATTTGTATGTGAACATGGATGTACCCAGCGAGGTACAATTTTTCTTCTAGGGAGGGGCAGCTGCCCCTCCCTATAAGAAAAATTAACATACAGAACAACTAGAAGAAAAATTGACACACAGACACACGGCATAGATGTATCAATTTAGTATTAGTTTGAATAATGAATATTGTGACTAGACTAGAGCCATCTGTTGTGAAATCTCACTCTCCCTCCCCACTTCCTTGAAACTAATATGAGTTGACCCCTCTAGTTCAGATCCTGGGTATGCTACTGTATGTGCATATGCAATATGTGCAATGCTCAGTAAGCTCATTTTTTGAAATGGGAAGCAGATATTATTACACAGTGTTTTTAAACTGAGAAACGTTGTAAAGTTCTATAGTAGATTGAACCACCTTTCAAACCAGCACAAATATTTTTACATAATAAAATAGGAATAGAAAGCCTACAATTTTCTTTAACCAGTTAAGAATGTTTCTTTATTGAATTTCTTTATATATTTGTTGTGAAGTCTCTTTTCTGATAGAACTCTTAGAGTTTTTATGCATTATTTGCAAAAGATTAAAATGTGCACAGAATTTTTATTTATCAAAAACTGTTGTAAAATGTAACACTTTATGTTGTTTTCCAAAACTGACAGATACAATGGCATCCATTTTTCAACTTTATTTATCATTTTTGCAAATATTTCAAAACCTCTACTCAAGACCTCCATATAAGAATTTTGATTGGTTGTCAGACCAGAAGAGGCAAGTTGATTGTAGCTGCCACACAAAAGAGAGTTCACAAAATAACTGCAAATTGAATAAACCAAGAGAACATGACTTCTCTTATTCAATTGCAAAGTACTTTCATTACAAAAGAAAAGTGTTTGCTTTTGTTCTAATAAATTATATAAGTTTAATTTGACTAATGTATTCACTAATAAGGAACAAGGAATAACCTGTATTTCACACTTTTGTTTCTTTTATTTCATTAGAAAATTAAGAAATACTTTTATTTCAGTTTCCAGGACTTCAGTTTCTCAGTTTCAAAATGTGGTGTTAAAACATATAATAGTACCCACCTCCCACTTCAAAAAATGAGCTTGCTGAGCATTGCACTTACCAAATTGTTGGTGGCATATTTGGATTCAGCATTAAACATTGTGAAGGAATGCCAGTCATAAATTCCCATATCAGCAAGTGTTTCTGACAGGGATTTTTGTATCATATTAAGCTGAACACCTTGTATATACGAATTTGACACTTGATTAACTGATGTGGAAAATGTCTATAACATACAGAAAATTTGCAGAGAGTTTAAATTTAAATATTTATGAAGTCAGAATAAAAAAAAATATTTTTAAAATATATACAGTAGAGTGTCAATTTTCCGAAAGTCAATCATCCAAAACGTCAATGATCCGAAAGATTTCCAGTTGGCAAATTTAAATTTTCGCCAGTGCTGTGGAGCTTCAATCTTTGGCTATGTCTTGGACTATTCAAATATTTTACGTTTTTGATACTAAATTAACATCTGAAGTATAATTTTTATTGTTTTTATATTTTTCAATATATTTATTTTGTTTGTACAAAATAAAAAAATAATTTTTAATGATACAATAGTCTTTGTTAGGCTTAACATCAACGAAAATTCAACGCGAAGCGACAAGCAACGGAGAAAAATTTCAACATTGGATACGTTAAACTATTTTTTCGTACATAAATCGGTTATCCGAAATATCAGTTATACGAACAACCCCAGTCCCCAATTGATTCGGAAAATCGACGCTCTACTGTATTGTGAAGTCTAAATTTCATAATTAATAGAAACATATTATGACCTTATCTCTTGATCAGAGTTTATTAAAATGTAAAAATAATAAAATTTTATTAACCTATTTATTCTAATATTGGACTTTTTTAGTTATATACAGTAGAATACTGATATTCCAAGTTAATGTGGTTAACTTGTGGTTTATGTGGTTAAATGTAAGTTAACACTATCTCAGATAGCCAAAGCAATTTTAGATTAAAAATATAAAACATTTTATGTGCTATATCACTTATTAAATGATAAAAGAGAACAGAAATAAATCATTTTGCAATATATGTTATTGTTTTAAACTTTTTTATGAATTACAGTATAAGAAAAATAATGTATTCACTACAGGTTTGCCTCTGATAATGTGAAACTTTGGTTAATCAGGACTTAGATAGTTGGAGTTCTACTGTAATTACTATATATTTTTGGTATTAAATATAGTCATTCACAATTAGTTTAATTAACCAATGTCTGATTAAGAAAAAGAAATCAACAAAAGAAAAATTACAGTCAATATTCTCAACACCTTACAATACAATGAATTCAAGATATAATTATTTTTTGATGACAGCACAATGAGTTAATGTTTATTTGACTGGCTTTTCAAATCACATTTTATGAATAAGTGATGTCATAATTGTTTACATAATTAGGAGATACACATTTATATTGACAATACAATAAAACTGTGTATTTCTTAATTATGATTTTTGGGAAAGAAGACTATATATTTCTATTTTACATAATTTATAAATTATAAAATGTATTTATTTAAAAATCTGATATTAAAAGCTATAAATTTAATTTCAAATATTTTTGGATTAAAGTTAAAAATTTATTAATTTGTAGAGTGCAATTTCCATTAAATATTTCCTTAATTAAGCAAATTAATTACTAAAACAAAAAATCAACTAAGATAGCAACTAAGATGTAGAAAATTAATCTCAAAAAAGTATGGTATAATGTGAAAAAATAAATAACAGAATTTTTTAATAAAAAGTAAAAGTAAATTTTGTTTATTAAAAGAAGTAAAAAATAAATTGAAGATATAATTAGAATTATATCTCAAAATGATAAAAGTTCATTATTCAGAAAAATTACTTGATTTTCTAGAATGATGATAAAACAATAATAGTTAATATTCATTATTATAAATTATAATTTATAATAATAACTTATATGAAAACAAAATTTATATTTTACTTATCATATTTGTATTATATGCTAATAAGAAATTCTAGATTATTATTGTTAAAATTTAATCAGATAATTTATAAGTATTAATGATATTATTTACAAAAAAAACCATTAAAATAAACCAGTTCTATTTTAAACAAATCTTAGTTACTTAAAACAGGTCAAGGTTTAGACAACATAGGAAGTTTATAGCAATACTTCAAAGAAATATCTATACAAACAGAGCTATTTATGAATTTTTAAATTTAAAAACTTCGAATTTTTTTCATTATTTTATTTTGTTTTTTCAAGAAAATTTATCTGACAGTTGTAAATCTTAGAAATTTCTTTTGAAAATATGAAAAAAGCCTAAAAGATTTAAAACATTTGTGACTTTGCATCAGTTATTTTTTTATTAACAAAAAAAAAAGTATATAGTTTGTTAAATTCTGCAACATAACTTTTTCAATTACAGTATATATATTTAATATAAATTAGAATATAATGAATTTTCATTTTTATAAAACAGTATTATTTACAGTAAAGTATACTGATTAATTCTTAACATAATATTCAAAACTGAAAAACTGTGTAATATTTGATAGGCAACATTCAAACAACATAGGAAGAATATAAAAATAAGAAAGTATTTTTATATTCTTCCTATAGAAATATATATTTATTCCTATATTTCTATAGGAAGAATATATAGAAATATATTCTTCCTATAGAAGAATATAAAAATAAGAAAGTATTTTTATATTCTTAATCTATTTGAATACCATAGTTGTTAGCTCTCATAATTTTTGTTTTTTAATTTAAAAATAATTCACTTAAGGTAAATATCTGAAACATTTAATTTCATCTCTTACTTCATATTTATTAGCAATAAATATGATGATAAATAGCTGTTATTCCTAATTATTTATAAATACTGATATTTTGATATTTTTAAATTGCATATCTGATTATAGAATTGTATAACAAAACTTTCATTTGAAAAAAAAATGAATTTAGAAATAATTATATTGTGCTTTTTAATTATATTTCATAACTTATGAAAATCTTTAGGAAACATTCAATATTATAACACATTCAAAAATTAAATTTTGAAAAATGAGTTTAAAAAACACAAAAAATATAACTAGGTAGCCAAATATAACCTGTTAACTAGATATAAATATCAAATGTCAAAGACAGGAAAAAATATCATATCATAACTTTTTTTAGTCTGAAATTTACTAATATAACATATTCATAAACAGATTTATATTTATTATAATTGTATTTATAGCACAGCAAGTATTTGAATAAACAAACATTCTCAAATTTAAATTTAGAAAGTAATTTTTCATTTTAATATTAATACTATAGTATACTGATAGTTTTTCATTTACATAAAATTTAAATATAAGCATTTATCATTTCATGGCATTTTAGATATGAATGTTCCTTTTCATTCCATTATTAATTCATTTAAATACAACAAATACATTTTCTTTTTTCTATTGATATTCCTTTGTTGAGAACTTAACATTAATCAATTTCACACAATACAAAAGTTTCTTTAATTTAAAAAGATAACCTAAAGGACATTTTAAAATAAATTAGCTAACTTATAACTAAAAAATGCATAAAGCTGAAGTATAATAATTAAATATTATCATATAGCATTTTTTTGTAAAAAAGGGCTGGAGGAAATTACAATTTAATAAAGTAAAAATTGCATTACAAATACTAGTTGTATCTTGCTTGCTCACCATGTCCAATCGACTTATACAACTAGTATTTGTATTGCAATTTTTACTTTATTAAATTATCATATAGCTTATGAATACAGTAAGATTTTTATTGTAGACAATACACATTCATTAACTTATTTAACAAACTTACAATTCCAATAATCTGATTCATAAAGAATTAAATTTTAAATAAATAAATTACTGTATATCATGAAAGGAATCTTTTCTAACAAAGATTTTAAAGATGGAAATAATTTAAATGAATTATAATTAAAAATACTTATAATAAAATTACTACTGTATTTTTATACAAGTATTTTCAATAACTATTTTTATAAGTACATAAATAAAATATATAATTCTTATTAAAATAAAAAAATAATATAGTAAAACCTTGCTAAGTTAAACTGCATTAACTAAAGCTGTTTATAGATCCCAGGCACAATATACAGTTTTCTATATATTAGTCTTATTAAATCAAAGTTGTTGGTGCTTTCAACTCGGATCTATTTTCCCATGCACCCTACACCCTTTGATAGACCTGAACCTATTTTCTCTTATATTCTGTGTGAATACAGACAATTAACATAAACAAACTATAGCCCTATGAACACAATGCCACACCATTACAACCTTGTGTTATTATCCTTTTATTGATACAGTATGTTACTGGCATTCTAAGTGGGACATGATAATGCACTTAAATATACCATATACAATTTTATAATCATTCCATGAACAGATTCTTGAGAAACAAGACTAGCTTGATAATGGAAAATTTTTAGCCATAGAAAAATTTGAGAAAATTGGCCATTAAACTTTTTAACTTAAAACTCTAATTTGTAGTTTGGATTTTTTACCCCTTAGACTTGGACTTAACAAGTTCTTACTGTATATTAAATAAATGACTAATTCTCCTAATGATAAAATTAATAATTTATTAAAACACTGTAATATATATTTATCATGATTAATTACAGGCATACTCTGCATAGGCCTCATAATGCATTCCATCAAATAGTAGTTGTATTGTGAATTGCCATTTCCCATACATTATTTTTATTTAAAGAAAGTTTCACCTCATGGAAAGCTTTTGAGCAATGACCAATATGGTTTCATGCTCCACCAATCCACAGAGGATATCCTTGTTAAATTGTGTGATACTTTATAGCAGTGTTTTTCAACCTTTTTTATCTCATGGCATACCTGAACCTATAATTAAATTTCTGCGGCACAAATTTACACAGAAAAAAATCATGATTTAAAATTGTGTTTGTAAACATTCTACGCCATATTACTTGCCACTAAATTCTTTGTCTATATTTTTTGTAAATTAAATAAAATAGCAGCAGGTTATAACAATACTTATTTAAATTAATAATTTTCATTTTCATAAGAAAAGCAATTAACATTAAATCTTAATTTGCAATTAAAAATGGCATGATAATTGCCTTTATTATAAACCTGCCCAATGCCCTGTTATTTCTAAGTTAAAATAATTTGAACTAAATATGAAAAATTATAGATATTTTTGATTTAACAAAAATTTCATTTTAAATGAAATAACCTGGTCTTATGCATATATAATTTTGCTTATGAATATGTATTTTGTACTACATTATGTATACATTAATTTATTATAACAATGAAAAAACTCATATAATTAATTTAAAAAGGTTTTAATTTTGGCATGTACACTTATTGTTCTTTGGGCTTCTTTCGAAAATAATTTATTTAATAACCTTCCAAAATGTTTGCAGCATACTAGTGTGCCATGTCACATCGGTTGAAAATCACTGCTCTACAGCAAAGAAAGAAGAGATTGATGTGTTTGTTAATATTTCTAGATATCAAATATGCATTTGACAATGCATGGTGGCTCTCAATTTAAAACTTATCAGAAATAACAAAATTACCACAAAATGTTTTCTACTTGTTCAAAGATTTCTTAAAAGATAGAACAGCTGAACTTAAACTGGGCTTGGTTTAAAAAAAAAAAAAAAAAACTGCTCCCTAAATAAAGGCTGTCCTCAAGGCTTTAGTATCCGGACCTCTTTATAACATTCTGGAATGTTATTATAAATGACTTGCTAATTAAATTATCAGAATGTTTCTGTTTGTTAGTTATAAAATCAGCCATATCATTAAAAAATAATTATTTATTTACAATTTGCCAAATTTTCTTAAAACCCACATTTTTTGGTCTTTTTCCTGATACCTGGGCACATGATACAAAACTGGACAAGTAGCAACACTTGGAACAGACAAAGTATCATATTAGTGGGGACAGCTAAGTTGGATCATGGTAGAAGTAGAAATATATGACAGTTGTATCTGTGGTTTGTTTTAATCATGAGATGGTTGTAACTTGGGGTACAACCATTCAGAAAGATTTAGTTTCTAAGCAATTCATAATTAGTCAACTAATGAATGTTTCTCTACAAACAAAATATATAATGCAAGTAAACAAATCCACTCTTTCTGAATCACAAATTACATAGCTTTTATTTGTTAGAAAGATCTTAATATATTAATTATCTTATAATTTTTCTAATACTTTCAATCTAAATAATCTGTATTGAAGTACTGGTGGAAAAATATATTTTAAAGTTATATTCAAACAATTTTTTAAAAGAAAATAAATTTTCAAAAAAAATCAAAGCAAATGAATTAATTTACTTTGTATATTCTGAAAATTGCTCAAATTCAAAATTAAACTAACTTGATATATGTATCTTCTGATGACTGAATATTTAACTTGATAAAGTCAAGGAAGCTATAAAACAATATATTATTCTTAATAAAAATAGGGTTGTTAAATATTTTGTAAAATATGAAAAAAATTTTATTTTTTTGTTTTCTTTCAGTTATTATTATAATTAGTTCCTTTTTCTTACTTACTAATAAGTAATCAACTTTTCTACATTAATTAGAAATCTTGAATAATATAATCTTTATTATACTATTTAACAATATACTTTACTGATAAGCATATCTTAGAAATCTGTAAACAGTTTTTTGATTAACATATAACTTTACCAAATGTTTAACATTTGAATTGAAATTTTAATGACTCATTCTATGTAGATTTCTAAAATATTTATCAAATATTTTGAAAATCTACAGAGAAACTTGATTTTTAAAGATAAGTTTTAGATACCATTCTATCATCCTTTGTAATTGAAAATGAGGATTTAATGTAAATAAACAAACTGAATGAAAAATGAAGTCCATGCAATTTTATAATTTTATGCTTATTTAATGTCTTTATATAAAATGAATAAACTGACTATTCTGTGTTTTTCCATTCTTAAATAGATATTCATAAAATTTTAAGATTTTTATAATATAAAAATGAATTTTAGATTTATTAGAGAAAGATGCAAAAGTGAATAGAGAAATGCATAATAAGATTTAAAATATATGAATATGAATGTTGAAAGGTGCAAAAGAGAAAGACTATTATGTAGGGTCCACAAGGAGGAATTTAGAAGAGAAAATGAGTGATAAGTAATAAGTGAGCATAAGAGAGATATAGTTAAAGGAGTTTAAATACAAATTTGGCATAAGTACCTTATGATAGAAATATGAGTGTATTATGGAATGAAATGAGAATACTACAAAGAGGATATACACAAATATAAGAACAGTTAAACAAATGTATATATATCTATTAGGCTTGAGAAGTCAGGGAAAAAAATAAATGATTCTCATGCATTGTCAAACATCAATGATTCATAAGAAGAGAGCAATGATGAAGAAACAATTAAGATTTAAAAGAAAGATGGAAGTTAAAGGAGGTGAGGGAAGGAAGCTGTAAAATTTTTAGAAAAAGTGGTGATGTTTTTGAATCTGATATGAGAAAAAAAGGGGTATTGTGGTTGACCAAGAATTTAAATATAATTTCATGGGGGAAAAAACAAAAAACAGAATGAATGATTTATTTGATAATTTTAAATTTGATTATGATGGAAAGAATATGTAAAGGAACATTAGTTGTATCTAGTTCCAAAAAGACTCACTCATATTCAAAAAGATGTATTCAATATGTACTGCAAACAGGAAGAAATTCTTCCTGAAAACATTTCAAAGTTGGTTCCTGGATAAAGGTTTGACTTTTGGTGTGTTGTATGTTTAATGTCCATGGAATACTGTTCAATAGTTTTTAAGAATATAAAGATCTTCTTCTTGGTGCCATATCAGATTCCTGACGTTGGCGACACCTGGCGTAGGTTTGTAATCCGCCAAGGTGTATACTAGGGAAAGTTACTACCCAGAGTGGTTTCCCGTTGCCTTCTCTGGGGCGCGATGTTACGCGAGGGGAACTAATGCCTTCCGGGAGGACTTTTATGGGGNATGTTTAAATTATTATTAATATTAATAAATAATTCTTACCCTAACAGTTGGATAAGTTTTTCTGGTTGTATTGTTAGTTTTACCAGTCAACCCTCCATGTGATCCTTTTTCACTCCTATAACGATATCTGATTCTATTTGTTGGTTGAATAATTATATTTAAGTAGGGTTCCCCTGTAATTAAATAAATAAAATTACTTATTACTTTCTAAAATAATAAAAGCATATAACAATAAATAAAGATTACTTAATAAACTTATAATAATAATAATAATTTATCAGCAAAATTTTATAAACAAATATTAGAAATTCTATATTAGAGTTTCCAGAGCATTCTACAAATTTTCCTTTATTATAATAGTGAAATAACTCATTGTCTAAAAGAAGATATCAAGCAACAAGTTTTTTTTTTCACTATTCCAATCTATTGTTTTCTTTAGCGATATCAAATCTTCAGCTTTTTAAATTTCAAAACTTTGAAGCTTCACAATTTCGAAGTTTTAAAAGTTTTAATGCCAACATTTTTACCATAGTAATTTATCATTATTAGAAATGAATAAATTCAATCTATTATGACTTGATTAAATGATTATATCAAGAATTATTCAATTAAATTCATAAATACACACCAGAAACTTTAGAAACAAGCTTTATTCAAATTCAATTTAGAATTTCAAATCTGTTTGATTATTAAACAAATTTGGAATATTTTTTTTTGAAATAGAAAGTTAAGTATACGAAAGTGTTAAAAAAGATGAGGAGTAATCAATTCTTTACTTTTGTTAAAATATTATCACAAATCAAGAAAACCCTTTCACTATCAGTTAATGAAGTTTAGATGGTTTTGACCATTGAAGTTTCTCTATATTGTTTTTCATTATGTTTGCTTGCAAACACCAACATGCTTCTAATTTAATTTCTTCAACTTTATATACCTATCCAATTGTTGTTTCCAATTTAGCAAAGAATTATGAATTAAATATATTACTTACTAAAGGTAAGAAAAAGACATTCAAGCAAATTTATGTATTGTCTCAAATACTTTCAGTATCAATTATAAGCTTGTTAAGGAAAATTTGTAGAAAAAAAATAAATAAAAAAAATAATAATAAATAACACCCAAAACAAACTTTTTCTAAGATTTATATTTTAATTTTATTATTTACATAATGTTAAATATAATGTAAGCACTTAATCATAGGTTATTCATTCTATAATTACAGATTGTACTAACTTATCATTAAGATAATATTTGTTTATATAGCTACATTTTTTTTATCTCTAGTATCATTTATATGTAATTGATCTAACAACAATTATATATTTATTTTCCTTCACAGTGTTTAGCAATAAATCCAAATATTTCACCAACAATTTGTATGTGAACATGGATGTACCCAGCGAGGTACAATTTTTCTTCTAGGGAGGGGCAGCTGCCCCTCCCTATAAGAAAAATTAACATACAGAACAACTAGAAGAAAAATTGACACACAGACACACGGCATAGATGTATCAATTTAGTATTAGTTTGAATAATGAATATTGTGACTAGACTAGAGCCATCTGTTGTGAAATCTCACTCTCCCTCCCCACTTCCTTGAAACTAATATGAGTTGACCCCTCTAGTTCAGATCCTGGGTATGCTACTGTATGTGCATATGCAATATGTGCAATGCTCAGTAAGCTCATTTTTTGAAATGGGAAGCAGATATTATTACACAGTGTTTTTAAACTGAGAAACGTTGTAAAGTTCTATAGTAGATTGAACCACCTTTCAAACCAGCACAAATATTTTTACATAATAAAATAGGAATAGAAAGCCTACAATTTTCTTTAACCAGTTAAGAATGTTTCTTTATTGAATTTCTTTATATATTTGTTGTGAAGTCTCTTTTCTGATAGAACTCTTAGAGTTTTTATGCATTATTTGCAAAAGATTAAAATGTGCACAGAATTTTTATTTATCAAAAACTGTTGTAAAATGTAACACTTTATGTTGTTTTCCAAAACTGACAGATACAATGGCATCCATTTTTCAACTTTATTTATCATTTTTGCAAATATTTCAAAACCTCTACTCAAGACCTCCATATAAGAATTTTGATTGGTTGTCAGACCAGAAGAGGCAAGTTGATTGTAGCTGCCACACAAAAGAGAGTTCACAAAATAACTGCAAATTGAATAAACCAAGAGAACATGACTTCTCTTATTCAATTGCAAAGTACTTTCATTACAAAAGAAAAGTGTTTGCTTTTGTTCTAATAAATTATATAAGTTTAATTTGACTAATGTATTCACTAATAAGGAACAAGGAATAACCTGTATTTCACACTTTTGTTTCTTTTATTTCATTAGAAAATTAAGAAATACTTTTATTTCAGTTTCCAGGACTTCAGTTTCTCAGTTTCAAAATGTGGTGTTAAAACATATAATAGTACCCACCTCCCACTTCAAAAAATGAGCTTGCTGAGCATTGCACTTACCAAATTGTTGGTGGCATATTTGGATTCAGCATTAAACATTGTGAAGGAATGCCAGTCATAAATTCCCATATCAGCAAGTGTTTCTGACAGGGATTTTTGTATCATATTAAGCTGAACACCTTGTATATACGAATTTGACACTTGATTAACTGATGTGGAAAATGTCTATAACATACAGAAAATTTGCAGAGAGTTTAAATTTAAATATTTATGAAGTCAGAATAAAAAAAAATATTTTTAAAATATATACAGTAGAGTGTCAATTTTCCGAAAGTCAANAATTAGTCAAAATATAATAATAATTATTAAATTTTACAGTTTATACTTTATTATACCTCTTTGTCTCCCTCTGTGAGATCAAAAGCAGTTTTTCCAAGATCATCATCATCATCATCATCATCTCTACATTTGTCATCAGTATCTGAATCATTCATTTCATCATCATCATCCTCTTCAAAGCTACCATAAGTGTCATAATTAAGTATATTTGGATTAGATCCTTCTTTAATTAGTTTCATGATAGAATCTTTTAATTTACGAGAACATGCCAAATGTAATGCAGTGTTTCCAGCATAATCTTGTAGATCAAACTCTATATTTGCCTAAAATAAACAAATAAATAAATTATAATTGATTTGAAAAGTTAATTAAAACTACATAAATATACACCACAAAATCATAAAAACTTTGTTCTTCATTACATCATAAATAAAACAAAACAATGGAATCTATTTCTGTATTCGATTATTTTAATCTAAACAACAAAAATACATCAAAAAGAAAAGAAAATTTTACTTAGTTCTACAATCAATTTTATAAAATTATAGCACAATTAATTAATATTCTATTTTAATATAAAACAATTAAACTATGATATTATAAATTTACCTGTTTTAGCAAAATATCCAATGCTTGAGGATTATATTCAATTGCCAAATGTAAAGCACTTCTACCTCGAGTACCTTCTTGTTGATTTACATCACCTCCTGCTTGACAAAGAAGTCTAATGCATGATTCATTACCTTTGGTAATTGCTAGATGTAAAGCTGCTTGACCTGAAAAAAATTTTTTAAATATATATATAATAATTCCATTTTTTAATTTTATCACACAGATGACATTGAAAATAATAATTATAAATGGTTGAATAAAAAATATGAAAAGAAATTTACCACAATAATTTAATATAGATAATCTTGGATAGTTGTTTTCATAATTGCAATAATTATTAAAGCAAAGAAGATGTGAAAGACTTTCTACATTGTTAGTTTCTATAGCTAATTGAACAGATGTATTTCCATATCTGTCTTGAATATTAGGATCAGCACCATGTTTTAAAAGGGATGGTATAATTTTTGGACAAAGTCTAACTGCTAAATGCAAACATGTCTATAAAAAAAAATATGAATTTTGTTAATAACATAGAATGAAAGGATATATTTGAAAAAAGTTTGATGTTTACACATACCTGATGGAGATTATTGAGATGATTTATTGGATTACACATATCTGACATTATATCAAGGAATATCTGAATTATACTTATATTTTCTGGTTGATGCAATATGGCTAAGTGAAGAGGACTGAAATTTCAAATAGGAACATACTATTAATATAAAATAAAAAATTAATAAATCATTGTGATTTAAAATACTTACGTATCTCCTGCATCATTTCCTACTGCTAACAAGTAATGCTTATCTGCTAACAATTCTCTTACATCACCAGTAGCAGAAAAATACTGTAAATTTTCTGCTTCTTCTTTTGCTAATATCCTTGAAATATGTTTAACTTCTTCTTGAATTCTTTTTTCACATAATAACTGTATTAAATTTGAATCTATGGAAGAAAATGGATTAACTCCAAACCTTCCAAGTCTAACAGTCAGGTAAGATGAAAAATCATTGATAATTTTTGACATATTTGATTGAAAGATGGAGAGTGAATGATACATCTCATTTTCAGATAAGTCTGAAGAATGTTTTGACTTTTCTTGTGAGTGCATTACTTCTTTCATTGATTTGTTTATGATGGTTTGTAATTCAAAAGTCTTCTTTAAAATTTCATCTTTAAGAAGTTCAAAATCTTTACTTGAATTAGTGATTAATTTCCTTAAAACGTCTAAAATAATGAAATATATAAAATTTGAAATGAATATAAAATAATCAGAAACGGCTTTATTATATTTAAATAAAATTTTAAAAAATTAATATACTTAATTGAACAATGACCTTAACACTTTGTAAATAATTATGCTAATTTATAATCTCTTACATTAATTTACACAATAATATGGTGATAGAAAATAATTTTCATTACCAATATTTTATTGAAAATAATTCATGAATAATGTTAGATTTTCTAATTATTTCAAATAACAAAGTTTTAAAATAAAATTTATTATTTAATAGGAAAAACTTTGCATGTCTTCTTGAACACTTCACCTTTTTTTAAAGGATCGTCATGATGACTAGAAATTTTTTTGATATCTTGACTAAATTCTACAGGATTTTGCATTTCATCTATCAATTCAGAACTATCAGAAGTTTCTTCTTTAAAAATCGCTTCCCTCTGATATCCTGGTGGACTTTTACCTACCAAAGTATATAACAAAATTACAATCATTTCATGTTCATTCTTATTATTGTACTGTACATAGATATAACAATTCCCCTAAAAACACAAATCAACTTTCAAAATGAGATATTTTTAAAATTATTTACAGTTATTATTATTTCAAATAAATAATAAGAATTGAAAAAGTATTCTTAATCTTTAAAATGTTATATTATATATTGGTAAAATTCTAAGTTTATTATTAATATTCATCAAACTAAATTACAGTAAAACCTTGTTAAGTTGAATTGCATTAACTCAAAGCAGTCAACAAGTCCAAAACACAGTATATCGAGTTTTTCATGTAATACAGCATTCTTAAATCAATTTTGAATGATTAAGTACTTTTAACTCAACCGTATTTTCCCATGTAACTTCTGTCCTTGATCTTCATTTTCTCTCCTATTCCATGTAAATACATATGATTAAGATAAATAAACACTAAGGCACTGTGCCAAACATAATGCCATACTATTACAACCTCATGTCAACATCATTTTACTGATACAGTATGTTATCAGCATTCTAATTGAGACACAAGGAAGGTGCTTTGACAACAGTCACAGAAGTGCCATAAACTGTGTATAATTTTGTAATCATACTGTGAATAGATTTGTGAGAAATGGCTTGATAATGGAAAATTTAGGGCCACAGAAAAATTTGAGAAAACTGGATATTAAACTAGTTAATTTCAAACTTCTTAACTCAAACTTCTTGCTATTTTTTACTCCTTAAATTTTGAAAAGATTTTACTGTATATAATTTCAAAAATATTAAAAGTTTTTAATTAAAATCTGATAATGCGTATGGAATATACAAAATTTCTATACAAATATGCATATATTTAATACCATTATCATTATTATATTGTAACTTTTTATAAAATTTTATGCTATATATCAGCAGTTCTCAACCTTCTTTCATTCACATACCACCTGAACCTTCTGTGTATAGACTTGTAACACTAATGGATCGTTCTTGCATTCCCCCAGTGGTACATGTGCCACTGATTGAGAACTGCTGCTATATATTAATATAAATACTAAAGTATTTCCATTCATACATAGTGTTAATATGAAATATTTTTTTATTCCTAATATTCAAAAATGCTAATGCTTTATATATAAAAAGAAACGAAAATTATAATATAAATATATTAACTGTATCAAAATAGTCTGATTGTCTGAATAATTCAAATACTTTAAATTCAATAAATGAAAGCCTAATATTATTATAATTATTTGTTTAAATTAAAAATGACATTGAATAATTATTAATCACTTTAACTTTTATATGAATCTTTTTATAATAAAATAATTAACTAAGATTACTATCAATTAAATAAGATTTATGACTATATTAATAACTAATTTTACATAGTACCGAGGAGTAATTTCAGTCAAATTAAATGGAAAAAAGAAACTAAAATTAAAAAAGATGAATGTTCATATAGAATACAAAACAAGAAATATAATAAAAAATTTTAGTCATAGTCAAACTATCTGAAAATTATATTACGCAATTTATTTTAAATGTTCTAAAATTAGACATTTCAATTTAAGTGTTAGTCTCATCAGAATTGAAGAAATCAATACATTTATTTAAATAAATATTAGTCATTTTATAAACTTTACTCTAAATTATAGATGAATTTTTAATGTATAATTACCAAAGAAACCATGCAATCCTTCATCTCCTCCATTACCCAAATCAGAAGGACCAGTATGATAGGAACCTGGATCATAATGGTTAGTATGATAGCCAAATCCTCCAAATCCAGGATTAAAATTAGGTTTCTTCCTTTTCTGTTCTACACCATCTTTATCTTTAAATAAATATATTTAAGTTTTTAAAAAATAAATAATTTATAGTGTTTTATATTATTTAATATGCAATTATTACTTGTTTTAATTTTCAACATATTAAAAACTCACCATGATCAACTGGTTTGTAATGAAACTCTTTTGCTTCACTACATTCTCCATCTTTACTTCTGAATAACTGAAGATATACTTTTACCGCACTTTTAATTTCTGTGTTATGATAAGCTGGTGTACGAAATACAATTGCCACCTTCAGTTAAAGAATAATGATGTTAATATAAATTTATAGAAATTAATTTTGATATTAACAATGATTAAAATTAAATACTGAAAGATGAAAGATTTAAAGATATATTTAAATAAAAATTTAATCTCTGAATTTAAGATTACTTCAGTTTCAGATTGTCTCATTTTAAAATAAACTTAAACTAAAAATGTCATAACATTTTTAGATTACATTAAAGCAAATTTAATAATTATCTCAATTAACCAATTGGCTTATCAAACTGCAATGGAGCCAAGTAATCAAGATTATTTTGAGAAATTAAGATTTTTATTAGTGGAATGAATGCATTTTGGTCCTCAATAGACACTCCTTTTTTAGATGCAAGAAGCTTACAACTATACATTAAGGCTAATTTAAATTAATTTGATAACCAAATTTCATCTAAAAATATGAAGTTGTGCTTTGTCTTAAGTAAAGATTAATAATTAAAAATTCATTTTGAATTTAATTAAATAATATTAAAAATTCTGATATAAAAGATGGATCTGAAACAGGATATGAACTTGTAAATTTCATTTNTGTAAAACAAATATGTATAAAAAAAAATAAATGATGTAAATTTATTTTTGAAACAAATTTTCAGAAAACAGGTCAACCAAATTTGCACAGATATGAACAAATAACTTCATAAATTATAACTTTTATACTATTGTTTCTCAATAGCTTCTCACAAAATACTGATGAATCTGAACATGATAATAATGTACTGTATAAAAACTGGAAAACTTCCAACAAATATTTGTTTTGTTATTATGCATAATTAAATATTGAAATTTTCCTTCATTTAATTGAATTCATTTCCAAAATTACTGATGACAAATATCCTTATCAACTAAAAGTATAGAAATTCTGAAAGGTAAAATTAATTTGTTTTGTTCTCACTTTTATCATAATTTAATTCTAAATTATTTTGATTGTAAATACAGTTAACTTTAGTATTGGTGCCTTACTTGTTGTATCAAAACAAAATTAACAGGTTATATTTTTTCAGTCCTGACCTATAAATTTTATATATAAACATTATTGTTTTTATATTATAATAAATCAAATATATTATAGAATTCCTACGCTTAATAAAAAGATAAAAGTATTCTACATTGTTATTTGAAATGCAATTTTAAAACTTATTCCCAATTAGTTAGCTTGGAATATTACATACAATACTATAATTATATAGTAAACATAAGCCCAAAATTATATATTAATTAAATGATAACTCTGAATTAATTGGGCCATAACTTGGTTAATTAAATTAGCCAAGTTATGGCCGATTAATTTGGCATTATCATTAATTTTTCATTAATATCTTACAATACTTTTGTTTCTAAAAGTATACGTGGTATATTATTTCTTGAATTGGTTATAGGCATGTTAGTTTCTTTGAGTTCTTAGTGTTCTATTAAAAACTGAAAAATGCTGATGCAAAACAAATAGTAAATACTCATGATATACAAATTAAGAAATATAACTTCCAACTTTTTCTTACAAAATACCTATGTTATTAATTTTGTAAGCAATTTTGAATTCAAAATAGAAATTCTAAAACAGAAAATTGCAATTTTCACAAATTTCAATATACAGTAATACCTCGACTTACGCTACCCTGACTTACGTGATTTTCAAATCTCATCGATTCGTCTTTTGTTTGAGTGCCATGCAACTCTTGATTACTCACTCCCCCACGCTATTGTTTGGCTTACGTGTTCGGACGTGTCGCGCGGAATCGACACATAGCTACAATTTATTTTGTGTTATTTATTTCTGTGTTTGTTATATCTACAGAGACTTGAGAGACTCTATGTGATGATTTCTTGTAACCGTGAACAAATCAAAAGATGAGATAAGATTAACGAGAATATTTATTAGCTTACACACATCCGACTTGGATNATTAATAATTAAAAATTCATTTTGAATTTAATTAAATAATATTAAAAATTCTGATATAAAAGATGGATCTGAAACAGGATATGAACTTGTAAATTTCATTTACCATGCCAAATGAATTACCAGTTAAGCTATTCAGATCTTTATTCAGACATAATTTAATATGAACTAATAACATCCAATAACTGACCAACAATTTGGACTGATAACTGAACAAGATGCACAGTAAGAAGTTGTGAGTTTGAGTCTTGCTCTAAGTCAATCCGATTCTTCCAGAATTTTTCTAATTTATTTAATTAAATTCAAATTAATTTCTAATCACTAACATATAAGATGGTACAGCAGTTAAGCTCAGCTTTAGATCAAATTTAGCTATATTATGTATGTATTTTTAAACAATATCATCATCTTATTAACTGTTTCGTTTAGTTTCGTTTATATTAATCTTTATTATCATTACCTGATAAGCAATGTATATTTATAAAAGTTATTATAAATATACATTATGACATATTTATAGGAGCTATTGCTTATCAGTATTGATATCTTATTTAAAAGATATATAAGATCAGTTTTAATTTTTAGAAATTATAATAACATTTTTCAAACTCATGCTATGATTTCCAGTCTCCAATAAATTTTAATAGATTAAAATCCATTACATACATAATGATAAATAATGCAGACAATTTAGAAAGATCACTTGTATGGTTAATTATATTAGTCATTCCTATTTCATTTCATGACAAAGCACTCTTTAGAACATTCTTACTTGTAAATATAATACAAATAGCAATATTTTTTATTACAATTCCTAAATCCTTTAATATATAACATCTTATATAAAAGTAATATAAATATCATTCTCCTGTTAATNACACATAGCTACAATTTATTTTGTGTTATTTATTTCTGTGTTTGTTATATCTACAGAGACTTGAGAGACTCTATGTGATGATTTCTTGTAACCGTGAACAAATCAAAAGATGAGATAAGATTAACGAGAATATTTATTAGCTTACACACATCCGACTTGGATTTTACACAAATTGCGAAATTATACCCCGACTTACGCGGTCATCGCTCAGTTCCACCTATCGCATAAATTCGGGGTATTACTGTATATTATAAATCAGAATATATTTGTACAACCTTTTTCTTATAACATTTGGATAAATTTTGCTTGAATTTTTCTAGTACTAAATATAATCCACTAAATTAAATAAAGTAAAAGACTATGCTTCAACATGAAATAACTTCAAAATTTATTTACTGGACTATT